CCCCAAAACCCCAAAACCCCAAAACCCCAAAACCCCAGTAAATCATGACGTGTAATTGAGCGTGAAATGATTTGATAAGATCTAAGGCCATAATTATCATTATTAAATAATAGTATAAACACCCATGGAAGGCTTTGATTCACACGTTAAGGACATGTCCCTTGCTGAATACGGAAGAAAAGAAATTCAAATCGCTGAAATCGAAATGCCAGGTAAACTATCTAATCGAATTCCCTCTTATAATATTTCGTTTAGGCTTGATGTCTTGCAGAGCTGAATTCGGTGGAGAGAGATAGGTTCTCAAGGGAGCTAAGATCTCAGGATCATTACACATGACCATCCAAACAGCCGTCCTCATCGAAACCCTCCAAGCTTGTGGAGCCGAGGTTAGATGGGCCAGTTGCAACATCTTCTCAACCCAAGATCACGCCGCTGCTGCCGTCGTTGCTGCTAGAACTGCCAACGTCTTCGCTTGGAAAGGTGAGAACTTAGAGGAATACTGGATCTGTACCAACAGAATGCTCACATGGCCTGAGGGAGACGGCCCAGATCTCTTGGTTGATGATGGTGGTGATGCCACTCTCCTCATCCATGAGGGAGTCAAGTTCGAGAGAATCTTCGCCAAGACTGGTGATGTTCCTCACCCAGACAGCTTTGAGAACAAAGAATACAAGGAAATCATTAAGATCATCAGACAAGAGTTGCTCGAGGGCGACAAGTAGAAATGGACCAAGATGGCTAACAAGCTTATTGGAGTCTCAGAAGAGACCACCACTGGAGTTCACAGACTCTATCAAATGAGCAAGAAAAACGAACTCCTCATTAAAGCCATTAACGTTAACGACTCAGTCACTAAGTCAAAGTTCGATAATGTATATGGATGCAGACACTCTCTCCCAGATGGTATTATGAGAGCTACTGATGTCATGATTGCTGGTAAAAAGGTTGTCATCTGCGGATATGGTGATGTTGGCAAAGGTTGCGCTGCTGCCATGAAGAACTGTGGAGCAAGAGTAGTTATTACCGAGGTCGACCCAATCTGTGCCCTCTAAGCCTGCATGGAAGGTCTTGAGGTCAAGAGAATTGAATCAGTCGTTAGAGATGCTGATATTTTCATCACTGCCACTGGAAACAAAAACATCATTATGGTCTCCCATATGGCTCAAATGAAGAACAACGCCATCGTTGGAAACATCGGTCACTTCGATAACGAAATCGACATGGAAGGTCTCGAGAACTACCCAGGAATTAGAAGAATCAACATTAAGCCCCAATGCGATAGATACGAATTCCCAGACGGCCATGGAGTAATCGTCCTTGCTGAAGGAAGACTCTTGAACTTAGGTTGCGCCACTGGCCATCCATCTTTCGTTATGTCAACTTCATTCACCAACCAAGTCCTAGCTCAAATCGACTTATGGGAGAGCAGAGATAGCGACAAGTATGAAAAGGGAAAGGTCTACGTACTCCCCAAAGAACTTGACGAGAAGGTCGCCAAGCTCCACTTAGGTGCTCTCGGTGCTGAACTCACTGAATTATCCACTGATCAAGCTGAATACATTGCTGTCAACGCTTCAGGACCATTCAAGCCATCTACTTACAGATACTGAAGTGCTCGGATATAAATCTAATAAATCTTTTTATTTGCCTACAAATGCCATTTCATCAATATCTTTTCTCTATGAACATAATACTTTAGGGGTTTTGGGGTTTTGGGGTTTTGGGGTTTTGGGG